GCGTTCTAGACCTCACAATGTCGATAACTATGGCTTTTTTAATTATTCCAAAAATATCACTTACTGTACGTCTATAGTAGTGCATTGCATGAAGGGAGAATTCTTCCTTTGTAGAATGACAGAATGATCTGCGGTGCAAGGGGGCATGGCGATTAGTTACACTATAGGGATGAACAATGCAAAACGGTCGGGCGGGAAAGCCGACAAAGCGTCGATTCGCTGCTGACACTACGTCACTTCGCGTCCGCTAAGACAGCATCCACGTTTGCCAACGCATCTTGTTGTGAGTCCTCCCCACCTTGACAGCCCAGCAACCGCCTAGCGACGAGACTAGAGCATCTGTCGGGTGTTTTCTGATCAGAAAGAGCCTACATCTGTTTTGTTTACCCTGAAACACTTACCATTAATAGCCGATGGCTCGGGAATAGCTACAGGTCTTTGCGAACACGAGAGAGTCGAGACCGTCGTCGCCTCACCGCCCAGCCTAGTCAGACATCGCCTTCACGCCATGAAAACCACTTATCTAAACCAACAACCCCGATGCTTGTGACTCAGTCGTCAATATCCATGTTTGTTTGAGAGATGGATCACTCAATTCAGCGCTCGCTGAATGATAAGCTTTACGACCGGAGGAAACAGGGGGCCCTCGAGTATGCATTATCGATAAGGCGACATATGTCAGACAATAATATGGCGGGTGGCTAATACACATGGGTTTATTACCAGACTCGAGAAGGTCGTCCGCGATGCTGCTTTCAGGGGTGAACACGAGGAGATCCAAAAGATTGTCGACCAACTCTGCCATGACTACGCCTATGCGGTACACCAACCTCACGCGAGAAACGGCGGTTTAATCGGACTTGCTGCGGCTTCCATAGCATTAGGATCCGTGAGTTGCACCAGGATATACTGAATGGATTTTGCAGGGGCTGAGTTCAAGGTTGCTAGGAAGGGGTTGCTCCTTATCTGAAGGAAATCGTACCGCCAGTGCTTGCTTGCTTTTCCGACCAAGATGCGCGAGTCAGGTATTATGCTTGCGAGAGCATGTACAACATTGCCAAAGTTGCGAAAGGCGAGGTGCTACTCTTCTTCAATGAAATATTCGATGCATTGAGCAAGGTAAGGGGTTTTCTCCTATGTCCTTACTGTTCTGGCCTAACAGCTTACACACCGTCAGCTAGCTTCTGATTCGGAGCTTTCGGTCAAGAACGGCGCAGAACTCCTCGACAGACTCGTCAAAGACATCGTATCGGAATCCGCAGCCTCCCATATCTCCGTCTTACAGCTTAGCGAAAAGGAAGCGACAGATCCTGAAGGCCTGGATGATGCTGAACTCCCTACCGCCTTTTCGCTACCTAAATTCATACCTTTGCTCAAAGAGCGAATCCACGTCATCAGCGCGTTTACCCGCACATTCCTAGTATCATGGCTGACTCTGCTGGATACAATCCCCGATCTGGAGTTGATATCGTATCTGCCGGAATTTTTAGGAGGCTTGATAAAGTTTCTGGGTGATCCGAACAGAGATGTCAACGTCGCTACCCAAGCGCTTCTGGATAGATTCCTGTCGGAGATCAAGAGGATTGCGCGACTCAAGAAGGGTATCGAAGAAAGCCGGAAAGGCCAAGGCAGCGATATCAGGCAGTCCACTACCAGCGATAGTATGAGCGTTGCGACGACTACCGACCAGACTGTAGCTGTCGAATCTGAAGTGACTGACAACGCCATAGAGGACTCTGAGGCAGGGTCAGTTACCGATGAGGAAGGCTTGCACGTGGATGGGGACTGGATTCCCGGACAAGATGTCCAGATTGACTATGCAAAGATATTAGACATTCTCGTCGGTTTTGTTGATACATCTTTCGGTAAGCAAGGCATGATGCTCAGTTGCAGTGGTTCGATACTTATCACTAGTCATTAGTGGAGGAAATGCAGTTGACTGCGCTGCGCTGGATCGACAACTTCTTCGAAATTAGCCCAGAAGACATTCTCCCTTTCGTTCCCCGTCTCCTCACTCAAGTGCTCCCAGCAATGTCCAGTGGTTCGGATCAAGTGCGGCAGGCCGCCAACCGGGTCAACACGTCTTTGATGGAGTATATTGTCACGCTGTCCGAAGATACAGTAGATGAAAGTCGGCAAGCGGCATTGAAAAGTACCAGCAAAGAAAATACGGAGCGAAGGTCGTCTACGCCGGTTAGCAAGCCTCCCGAGACGCCATCGAGTGAATCCAAGAAGCAATTGTCTCAGCCAGAGGCATCAGTCGAACAAACCCCTCGAAGCAGCATGTCAACACCATTACCACCCGCCGACCTCGATTATGCTGCTGCCGTGAACTCCCTTACCCTACAGTTCCTGAACGAAAACGAGGCCACCAGAGTAGCCGCGCTTTCCTGGCTTATCATGTTGCACCGAAAGGCGCCCAAGAAGGTCATTGCATTTAATGATGGCACATTTCCTGCTCTTCTGAAGACACTGTCCGATCCGGCCGAAGCCGTCGTCACCAAAGATCTCCAGCTTCTATCACAGATTTCCAGAAACAGCGAGGACAGTTACTTCAAGTCTTTCATGGTGAATCTCCTGCAGCTGTTCTCCACGGACAGACACCTGCTCGAGGTACGGGGGAATTTGATTATCCGACAGCTGTGTATGAATCTTAGTCCAGAGCGCATTTATCGAACGCTGGCAGATTGTCTCGAGAAGGAAGAGGTGAGACCCACGACTACTCCGTCTATCGAATGTAGCAACTCACACCGTGAAAGGATATCGAGTTCGCCAGTATTATGGTCCAGAATCTGAACAACAACCTGATTACTGCCCCTGAACTCTCAGAACTGAGAAAGCGCTTAAGGAATCTGGACGCCAAGGTAAGGGTTCCTTCACAGGCCGAGTATTTACCAAACTTACAATCTCCACAGGATGGACAGATGTTCTTTGTAGCGCTATTCCGGTCGTGGTGCCACAATGCCGTCTCTACATTCTCCCTCTGTCTACTCGCGCAAGCCTACGAACAAGCATACAACCTCCTCCAAGTCTTGTAAGACATCCTCCCCCCTCCCCGATAACCCAGCATCACTAACCTTCCATCAGTGCCGAGCTCGAAATGACAGTGAACATGTTAATCCAAATAGACAAGCTAGTCCAACTCCTCGAATCACCCGTCTTCACCTGTGAGTCCCCCCACCACCTGCAGCACACCTTAAATCACCTCACACCAACTAACCCCACCCCTCAGACCTCCGCCTCCAGCTCCTCGAACCAGAACGATACCCCTACCTCTACAAATGCCTCTACGGCGTCCTCATGCTCCTCCCACAGAGCTCCGCCTTCGCAGCGCTCAAAAACCGCCTCAACAGCGTCAGCAGCATCGGCCTCATCCACACCGGCCCCCGACAGTAAGTCCATCCCCTACCCCACTTACCCATCTGCACCAACCACCAACTAACACCCCAACCCCAAAGAACCACCCTCTCCTCCTCATCCACCACCTCCTCCACCTCCACCTACGACCGCTCCACCAACAGCCGACTAAAACGCGACGACCCCCCAATCCGATGGGTCGAGCTCCTCGACAAATTCAAGACCGTGCAAGAGAAAGCCCGCCGGTCTCAACGCGCCTCGCAGCGTCCCTTCGACGCAGACGGTCCCTCATCCTCCAGCAACAATAACAACAATACCAACAACGCAAACGATCAGGTCCGCGGTAGCGGTAGCACCAGAGATCGGGTCTCCGCTTTACCTGATACTCCGCGGGGATTAGCCGGAGGAGGGAATACCGGAGGTGCGGGGAATGAAGGTGGTAGTGGTCGGGGAACGAACGAGGGGGGTGCGGGTAAATCCTTGCCGGGAGGCATTCTGGGTGGTGCGCATAGACATAAATCTAGTTTGTCGAATCTGGGGAGGTTGGGGATTGGGGGCAGGAAGTCGAAGAGGTGATTGTGGGTTTGGTTTATAGTTGTGGATATAGTTAGGGGTTATAGTATAGTATAGGAGTTGGGGGGGAGTGGTGTGTTATGTTATCGCGTTATAGCGTATCATGCATACATTGCTAGGAATGAGAATGGGGTTAGCTATCTAGTTGCTAGTTGGGGTGTGATGATACTATCATTACGTGAGCTAAGAACGATGATAGTAAGGTATATACATAGGTCGTGGTGTTAGTAGTGTCTCTTGCTACTTATATAGACTGAGTAAGAAAGTCGCTCTAAGGATTTACGCTAAGGTAGTAGAGCAAAGGGGCCGACGCAAGGCTGTAGATCTGCGTGTTGGTCTAACGATTGTCCTATTATATCCAAGCATCTCAGAATTTAAGCATCTACCTGGGTGGGGGCCACGCTGGTGATCGTCATATCTCTTGATTGGAATGTAAAAGCCTATGTACAGTGAGGCGTAACAGCCTCGAATTCGCGAAAAAGGGTGTGAAGAAAGGATACACCAACAAGTCAAGTCACAGAACGACTCGCTAATGGGCTTGAGGGGTATGTGAAGTGCACAAAATGGCAGCACAAAGCTCTATCCCGCCAACTCTAGAACGGAGCGGAAAGGGATCCAGAACAATTGTAGCAAAAAGGAGTGCTTGCAGCCAAAAAGCAAACAGGCATAAATCGCGTCAATAAGATGATGCCAGATAACTCCGAGATAGATTCGGGGAAACAAAAAAGTATTCGACGTCCCTTGAATCAATGGTTAGAGACGCGTATTGATGGTATGGCAGGCGGTAGTCAATATGACATGCAATTGCGCAGATGAGAGCAAACCAAACCAAATAGCTGATCAAATATGCAACGCTAGCTTTCAAATGTCGCGGCTGAAGCCAGCGGCCAAAACGGAGTACCGAAGGACGGAAGTAGAGAAAGATAACATGAACTTTTTGCGTTCACTTTCTTCACCCATGAATGAAAAACAAGGATAGGTCGTCGCATCCTCGACATGGACATTATGAGGAGGATTGGTAGTCGAGCAAAACGAAAAGACAGCGCTTGAAGAATGACGAAAAAGGTGCATTACCGCCAGCGCGAGTCGCCAGACGATCCCCACGTAGAGGCTTTCCAGTAGCTGCCTGTCGAGTGCTTGGAGACGGTCCCTGACGAGGAGTTGGATCCGCCGACGTAGACGTATTCCCCGTCGACGTAGGGAACCCCTGAAAAGGTGCTGCGGTGTTTGCGACGAGCATAGCGCTGCTCTAGCCGGTAGAGCTCGATCTCTGTAAGGAATGGATGGTTAGTACAGGAATTGAACGATGTCACAATGACCGTGATGCTTCGAGATAAGGTGTGGTAGTAATGGGTGAACTCCTAGGAGATGGAGACAACATACTTGCTTGCAACTTCTCGATGAAACCCATTGTGTATGTATGTAGCGTAGCGCCTTGCAATATATGACTTTATTTCTCTTGTGCACCAAATCCAAAGCGGATCGAATAATCACCCCAGGGAGTTTCTGGGAGTGTATGTGCGGGGTTCAAGGATGATAATCTCCAAGAATTGTTGATAGGGAGAGTGCGAAGGTGAAGCGATGCCAATTGCTGAGATAACGGTCCGGAAGGGTGGGAGAGGTAACACGGCGGACGCGAGAGGGGCAGGTTGGCGTAGATAAAAAGGGAAAAGGAGGGAAGAAAGACCCGATTTGCGAAGAGGGACGACGACGGGCTAGTGGACGTTGCAGCAGATGGTGGGAAAAGAAAGTGTTCACACCAAGACAGATAGTGCTCCGGAGCTAAGCAATAGTCAAGAAGTCAATGATAAATAAGGCGCCGATAGTGATTTAGTGGTACCCTTGGTGGGATGGCTGGTAGGAATTGATGGATAAAGAGAGAGGCTTGTGGAGAAGGAATGCAGCCGACCACGCAGGGAAGACAAGCCACCGAGGGTTACGTGCCAATGAAGAATGCAAGGTGAAAGAGTAGTAGAAGAGAAGGAACAAAGAAAAGGTCAAAAGAGAGACGTGGTGGAGAAATAGAAGAAGAAGCAGCAGCAGAAGAAAGAGGAGATAATGGAGACGATGACGATAGTTAGATAGATACTAGTAGGGGAAAACAACGAATGTGGAAAGAACGACGGCCTGACTGACTTGGAACTGGGGGAATAATTGGGAAGGAAGGAACCGAACAAAACGTGTGGGAAAGAGAGGAACTGGAAGGCACGATGGCCGGACGGATGTGGACTTGCTGCACCGACCACCAGTCAGGAAGGCGCAACGTGGTTTGGGGGAGGGGCGTCCCTTCCTGTCTGGGCCTAGCCAGGGGAGTCCAGCCAATCAGTAGCCTCGACTAAGTATGCCCACCACCGTCAGGTACGGAATCCAAATACACTAAGGAAATACTAGACCACGAACTAGACGTCCGTCACCACCACACAGACCAGACCAGACTCTTCAATACCCCTGACTATCTTTCTCAAGAAGAGACATTCAACAGTCAAAGTAGCAGAGATTGCTCAATTGATTTTGTTTTTCTTCTTCATTTGAGATAGTCATCTACCTATCTAACCGACACTATCGTCTATGATCTCCCGCTATTGGCGAGTCTTTCCATCCATCATCCATCCAGAACTTCTCTTCTCTTCTCTCCTTCCTTCCTCAAACTCAAAACCTCCCCACCTCCCGCCCGGAGATTCGTTTTCTTTCTTCTGTTACCCCCTAACGCACGGTTAACATCATTAGACTCACCCTCAGGCAGATAGATAAACCACGAATCGAATTGTGCTCGTACTTGGGCACCAACCATCCAATCCTGAACATTATTGTTCCTTCACTCGTTCAACATGGAATATACTCTTTCCTCCTCATCCCTGGTTCTCCCTGACTCAAGACCCTGCGTACCAGATCGGCTCGCTCGCTGGGTCGAAAAGGGTAGAACCGAGACGGGGTACGACGCTAAGGCCAGTTTCGAATGTGCCGGTGGTTCCGTCTAAATGGCCTGGCCGTGCCTTGCCTTGCGTGCTTTTCTATTCCACGGCTCCAGTTATTTTTATTGGAACCGCCCGCTTGCCTTCCTTCGGGTCAGTTCCCCTCGTGGCAACCCGGTAGACTAGTCCGTCGTTTAGATTGCGTGTGGGATGATTGGGGGGAAGGTGCCTTTCCCACATTTCACCGAATGGTGCACGTACACGACAGCCACAGAGGAGGGCGTTTACGTAAGTTGGTGGACAACTGACTAGTAACGTAGATAGTTACACATATAATGGCTATTGTGTAGATATCTACTTTGATAGCTTCCCATTTGTATCGTTCAGTCGCAAAAAAAGTCTAAAGCGCCAAGAAATATAGAACAGAAGAAGGAAAGGAAGGGAATCATACAATTCCCTTTCATTGGGTGATTGCTTGCTGCTTATCGTCGTGCCTCGCGTTCTGCACTACTTCTTAGTAGTACTCTCCTCTTCCTCCGCAGCTGTCGGCTCGCTGTCCACGTCCTGTGCGAGGGACATTTCTTGGGCTGTGGCGCAGGATTTAGTTAGCTTTCGTGTTTGAAATACACCAACTCCTTCCGGGCTTCCGACGGCGGGTCTCTTACCGTTCCACAGCTCGGCGTAGATGCCATTCTGCTCCAGAAGGTCGCGATGCGATCCCTTCTCCGCTACTTGCCCCTCCTTCAATACGAGGATCTGGTCGCAGTCATAGATCGTGCGCAGTCGGTGCGCCACGAAGACGCTCGTGCGTCGCTTCTCCTTTAGGATGCTGTTGATGTTCTGCAGTAGCGCTTGTTCCGTGTAGGTGTCCAAAGCTGAGGTCTACCCGTTCATAATTAGTATACTTAGCCGCCTTCTATGCTGAACAATAACCATTGACTTACCGCTTCATCGAAGAACAGCAGCTCCGGATCCTTCAGGATCAGTCGGGAAATCGCCAGTCGCTGCTTTTCACCTCCAGAAATCATCATGCCTCGCTCACCCACCGCAGTCTTGTAGCCGTCGGGCAGCTTCTGGATCAGCTCGTGGATGTGTGCACGTTGCGCCGCCTGGTGGACTTCTTCATCGGTCGCCTCAATCCGGCCGTAGCGGATGTTGTGCGCGATTGTATCGTTGAACAGAGGGGTATCTTGGGGCACAACACCGATAGCCTTGCGGAGACTTTCCAGAGTCACATCGCGTACATCCTGACCGTCAACGAGGATCCGGCCCTCTTGGACATCGTAGTAGCGGAACAGCAGTCTCAGGATAGTCGACTTGCCGCAACCACTAGGTCCAACGATAGCGAACTTCTGGCCGGCAGGAATCGTAAAGCTAGCGTTCTTGAGAATGGGTCGGTCGGGGTGGTAGCCAAAGGTGACGTTCTCGAATCGAATCTCGCCGCCCTGCTTCAGCTGGAGGGGCTTGGCATCCGGTCGCTCGGTGATGTTCACGTTGACTTTCTGCAGGTTGAAGAGGGTCTCCATGTCCAGCAAAGACTGGCGGAGCTCACGGTACACCGAGCCCAAGAAGTTGAGCGGGACGGAGAGCTGGAAGACGAGCTGATTAACCATGACCAGGTCACCTACAGTCAGACTGCCGCTAGCAACGCCGTTGGCGGCGAGATACATCATGCCTGCCAGGGCACTCGAGAAGATCATGTTCTGGCCGGAGTTTAGGAAAGCCAGCGAAGTCGTGACCTTGATGGAAGCATCCTCGTAGGCCTTCAGGGCCTTATCGTAGCGTGCAACTTCGAATTTCTCGTTGTTGAAATACTTAACCGCCTCATAGTTGATCAGAGAGTCGACAGCAACGGTAGCACCACGGTTGTCTGCAGCATTCGCCTGCTTGCGGAACTTGGTTCGCCAGGCGGTGGTCATGATCGTGAAAGCAGAGTAGGTCACCATGGTTGCGGCTGTGATCGCCGCAAATTGGACACCATATTGGTAGGTCTAACACAGTCAGTAATGCCATATCTGGACAGATGGTGCAGCGCAGGCCATACCAGAATACCGCAGACAAGAGAAATCTCCAAGGCAGTTGGCACCACGTGGAAAACCATAGACGTCAACAAGAAACTGATGCCCTTGGTTCCACGGTCAATTGCTCGCGTCAAACCACCGGTCTGCCGTGAGAGGTGGAAGTTAAGATCGAGCTGGAGCAGGTGCTTGAATACATTTCCCGCAACCTTGCGGATCGCCTTCTGCGCAACACTGGCGAACACAGCATTGCGCAGTTCTTGGAAGAGTGTAGCCCCGATCCTAGTAACACCGTCTGGTAACCATTGTTAGATACAGTCTTCCTGCATGCGGGGATCTCTTACAGGCAATAATCATCGAGCCTGCGACTGTGTAAGCGGTTCCGCCAAAGGTCGAGAAGTCCACGTTCATGGAATCAACGATGTTCTTGAAATAGAAGGGTACTTCGACATTCAAAATCTGGTTGGATAGTGAGTACAGATGCAGGAGACCCAGTAGGTAGCATTGCTCACCTTTCCTCCAACCAGCAGCGATAGGGCCGTGCCGACACGAAGCTTCGTTCCCCAGTCACCCTGCCCCGTTCTCTATTAGCACCCTATGCCTCGCTCATCCAAAACGCCGCGGATCCAGCTCACCTTAGGCCAGAGATACTTTGCCATTTCCTTCATTATCGCCCAGTCCGCCTTCCTCTGCTCCTTTCTCCCCACGATAGCTTCACTGAGCAGGTCTTTCTTCGGGGTCGCGGTAGCATTTTGGGTACCCGGCGGACTCTGCGCGACACTGGCAGCGCTGGGTCGGGTAGTAGAAGGATCTTTGGGGTCTGGTGTCTGCGACTTCGTCGGGGAGTTCTGAGAGGTCTGGCTCCTCAGTGGGCCTCTAGTGGTTGAGAACGATCTGAGCTGAAAGCCGTAGGAAGCTGACGCCCATGACGTTGGGCGCGGAACGGCTGAAGTGTGGTGTAGAAAGCGTCCCGAGGCACGCCAGCAAGGCGTGCGGGCCGCCCTGGGCAGCATGATGGTCGGTAGATGCTCTTCACAGCGACCGGAGGTGTGCAAGGACCGTCTTTATAGCCAATGGAGCATTGCGGTGGTGGTGAGGCCTTGCGCGAATTTCCGCCTCGTGATGGGGGACCGCCGGGTTCGGAGGAAAACGTCGGCGGCGGCGGGGGATAAAGTATGAGGGCGCGAGATGGAAAAGGTACTGGGGACCGCGGTGGATCAGGGCGATGTTTATTCACGACACCCTGTATGGCGGATCATTGATTGAGTGTCCAGAAGGGAAAGTTATGGAGAAATAAGTAGAGGTGATTCAGCGAGGGAGGCTGCAGCGATAGCACCAGGAAAGGCAGTTCTGTCGCAATCGCCGATTCCGAGTATCTCCAGGTCTCCGGTAAATTACGTTACTCTCGGTACGAATGCGGCAGTTCAGCAACATACTGTCTCTCTGGGGTTTACTCACATTTCTCTATATGTCTACATGAATTGAGGTTTTTCTTTGTTTAGTCGATGTCTTGCTTATACAATTGCTGTATAGCTTGAGGGTATCCGGTATGAGTGTGTCATCCTCAGTAGGAAAGTAAGTGACGTCGTAAAGGTAATGTGCCGATATTGTTTAGAAACATGGTCAACACAGGTCCAGCTTCATCGCTACTAACAGGAATAGAAGATATATGCTCTTATATAGTAGACATTAGCGGGTAGCAGTCAGATTGATAGTCCACTGAAGTAATAGAGGGGATACTTAAAAGATCTCTCATATAGTCCAGGTAGACACGTGAGATGGGTATGACATCAGTGCAACACAGCTTATATCTCCCAAACCACAATTCGGATTGAGATATTCAGCACAGATTTTATTATCTGAGCCATCTTCATAACAATATATATCCAGTGACAGTGACCACAATACCCTCACTGCAAGGCAAAAGTGGATGAAACAGCTTTAAATATCGACAAGTTCGCAGTGCCAAGCCGCAATAGCGCTTTTCCCGATCTGGAAGCGTGAATCCGGGCAAGAAGAAGAATTACCGCGGAGGACGAGCAGTTGCATTCTCAACCCCAGCTTCTCCCCATCTGCACTTCGTTCGGCAGAGACCCTCCATGATGGTATCGACTCAACCTTGGAGGAGTGCCGCGAGGACTCTGTCCTGGACTCGAGTCGTCCCTCCCCGGGCGCGACAAGGGGCATTGCTGCGCCGCGGATGGCAGACCAGATGCGTCCAGATTCGCGCGGCGCCTGCGGAGGAGCCAGCTACCGTCAATGGCGACCATCTTCCCATCTCCAGCACCCCTAGCTCTGCTGAGTCTGCTGGTAAGTCTCCAAGCTGGGCCCGAACCCGCTTCAGAGCCGGAGCAGACCGCGCTAACAGCCGAAATCGTAACTAGATGCACGATTCGATGTCATCGGCGCGCCCTACTCTCTACTATCGGTTTCGCTCTCCGCTTCTCAGAACCTTTACACTCGTCGGGGTACCTTGGTCGGATTGAGTGGAAAGGCAGACAATGTATGCGCATGTTGTTGTGGTTAATGCTCTACCTTGTACGCTGCTCTAGGGTTAACGACTTTGGCATCAACGCAGGTGGTTTCTACATTGAGCGTTCTAGAACCCTTCCGGAGGGCTGTCGTCGGCGTGCCGTTCCTCTACCAGAAGGTTAGGCTGGTCTTCCTAGGATTTGAACAATTGGTATGGCTATTGACACTTGGCTGCTAGGTGTCTTCGGCAAGTCCAGTGACTGCGCTGGTTTCCGTTCGTTCTCCGAATACTTCCTTTGCTGTCGTTCACTTGAATGGCTCCGTGGATTGGATGGTGGCCCAGAAACGGGCATTGCTTGCCTGGACGGGTCGCTCGCTTTCTATCCGCCCAACTATAAACACAAGTCTGGTTCGTGATCCTCCTTGGGTCTTGTGTATAAAGGCTAGACTAACCCGCGAAGAGCCTTGCCCACTGGGGTAGCTCCGAGGTCACAGGACGAGGTTTGTTGGCGTTGGTTGGTAACGGTCAACTCTATTCCGTTGAGCTCAAGGCTGGAGAGCAATACATCGTTCACCCGAGGTAAGCATGGCTGTTTCCCTGATTGGCCAGCTTTTACTGATGTCGCATAGCAACGTCGTTGCCTACACCATGTCGTCCAACCCCCCACGTCCCTATCGCTTCAAGTCTACGACCTTGAGGTTCCAGGTCCCGGGACTTAAGAGTCTCCCGGCCTTCATCCAGAACTCCAAGTTCATCCAAGATATGTCGGAATCGAGTACTTGGAAGTCGACGATGAGAATTATGCACACGATCCGTACATGGTCTCGGAAGACCATCTGGGGAGATCGGGTATGTCGCATCCTGCGAGGCCGTCAAGTTGCTGCTAACCCTACATAGTTGTTCCTCCAATTCGATGGACCCTCGACCATCCTTCTACAGACCCGCGGTCCTCGTATCAACGAGGTCCTTACCTCACACGAAGTTAACGAAATCGCCAGTGCGCCTAGAGGCTTGACCATTGGCCCGGCAAAGCCCACTGAGGGGAAGCGCCAACCAGGAGATGAGTATGTGAAGGCTGCCGAGGAAGCTGTTAATGCTGGACCAGGACCACACAGAACTGTGGACGAATTGACCAATGAGCTCAAGGGCACGGAGCAAAGCATTGCCACTTTGACGAAGGATGGCAAGGTCATTATTGAAAAGGCAGGACAGAAAAACTAAGCTGAAACAGTATCAATATGTTGCTGTTCTTCACGCATAGATCATAGCGCCCCGACATTCAGGTATCTTTTTCATTTATTTTGTTTCATTGCAGGCTCAATGTACTATAGACAATAGCTTGTGTCCGACTACACCCCACGTGAACGTTATTTCTCCTTTCTCCCTTATTCCTTTCCATTGTTCGTGATCTTGATCAAATCGAACCAATTTCCCGCCTTGCATTGTCTTGAAACTACCTAGCCAACAGGCACCCACGTATAAACCGGTTGACATGTGGTGGGGGGGGGAAATTTCTATGAATGAAGGGATCTCGCAAGGGGCCTCGTTGTCTCACAAACATAAACGTTCCCATTTTAAGTCCACAGCAAGGACCTCCCCTTCGGAATGCTCACGAGAGTCACACCGCTGGTCGACTCTTTTTTTTTTTTTCACTTGTGGGAATCCGGGGTCAGACTTCGCTATCTAAGGTCTCGAGGCCCAGATTGATGCCACCAGATTCCCCCACGCCCAAGCCGCCAATATCACATTCCCTAATTCGCAGCAGCGGAAAGCAAACATACTTGTGACAGAGGCCAGCCCTATTTTGCTGCAGAAACCATGACGCAACAACAACAACAACAACAACCACCACCACCACCAAATGAGGCCATGCGGGCCAGCGAACCCGTGGAGGATGATGTGAAAGAGCCCTTTCAGCTACCAGTTTCTGCTTCAGATACAAGTGACGATGTAGAGGCGCAGCAAAGCGATACACAAGGCACGACAACTCCCGGAGAAAAGCCCGGAGAGAATCCAAATGCAGGTCATACGTCGGAGAAATCCAGCGTCATTGTCCAGGACCACCAGCCAGCATCGACACCTGAGGGCCCTCCAGATGGCGGACTCGCAGCCTGGATGACGGTTTTCGGGGGTTTCTGTAGCATGTTCGTGAGTTTTGGCTGGAATAACTGTGAGTGTTGGATATCAGACACTTCGTCATACACCTTCTTGCTGGGAACCAATCTCCAATGACCGATTGCGCAGCTGCTTGCTAACATGCGACTTCCAGGCATGGGGATATTCATCGACTACTACCAGACTCATCAACTGAGCGACATGTCCACTAGCTCCATAACATGGATCACATCACTAATGACATTCATGATGTTCTTCGGGGTCCGTCTTTTCCTCCCCCCAGCCCTAACGTCTGCCCCCAACCACCATCACCATCACCAACATCAATCAATCAATTACAATTACCCCCCAGCTGACAGAGCACCCAACAACTAGGGTCCCTTCATCGGCATCCTCTTCGACAACTACGGCCCCCGCTACATCATCCTCGCCGGCACCATCCTCCACGTCCTCGGCATAATGATGACCTCCATCTCCACCGAATACTACCAAATCCTCCTGGCCCAAGGCATCTGCAGTCCCATCGGCAACAGCGCCCTCTTCCACTCCGGCGTCAACTCCATCAGCACCTGGTTCGGCCGTCGTCGCGCCCTCGCCCTAGGCATCGCCACCAGCGGCGCCAGTCTCGGCGGCGTCATCCTCCCCATCATGCTCACTCGCCTCTTCGACCTCCTCAGCTTTGGCTGGGCCATGCGTATCTGCGGGTTCCTGATCCTCTTCCTCCTCATCATCACAAACCTCACCACCACCTCCCGTCTCGTCCACACCAGAAAACAATACCATATCCGCGACTTCGTCCGTCCCCTCCGCGAACTCCCCTTCATCCTCACTACCGCCGGAACTTTCTGCTTCTTCTGGGGCATGTTCCTTCCCTTCTCGTTCATCCCCTCCCAGGCTCAGCGCCACGGCATGTCCCCTACCTTGGCTTCGTATTTGATTCCGGTCCTTAATGCAGCTAGGTAATCCACCTCCCCCCATCCCCTCAACCCCAAAATCACCAGTTATCTAACTACACCCCCTCCCCCGGACAGGGGAGGGGCATCAGTTTCCCAGGCCGCATCATCCCACCCTACCTCGCAGACGTCTTCGGACGCTTCAACCTCATGATCCTAATGACACTAGCATCCGGGATCCTCGTTCTGGCACTCTGGCTTCCCAGTACTGGCAACGCCCCCGCCATTGTCTTCAGCGCCCTGTATGGCTTCACCTCCGGCACGGTGGTGAGTCTTGCCCCCGCGCTGGTGGCCCAGATCTCTGAGATCAGGGAGATTGGTGTGCGCAGCGGGACATACTTCTGTATTGTGTCGTTTGCGGCGCTCACGGGCACGCCGATTGCGGGCGCCTTGTTGCCGGATCCCCTGGGAGGGAGTTATACCAAGTTGTTTGTGTTTTGTGCCGTGGTTATGCTTGCCGGGACGGGGTTTT